ATATATAAAATTTTATAAAATAATGCAGATTTTCCTAAAATTAGCGAATGTTTTTTTCATAGACAAATTTTGTAGAATTGTAGAACATTCTAAAAAAACAAAAAATTCTTATATGAAAATGTATAATAATTTTTAAATGGGAAGCGTTAAAGTTGATCAAACAATTTGCGGAAAATTGGCGTACTCAGGCATGGCAAATTATTTAAATAAGAATTAATGATAAACGTTAACAAAGTGTGAATATTTTTATTAGATATCTCTCGTTGCACATTATAAATGTATAGAAAATTTTTTAATTTAAACATATTATTAATTTCAATAACTTTTAAGCTATAATGGATAATAATTTTGGTAAATTATTTCTTGTTTATGATTTTACAAGGCATCTACACAAAATGTAAGTGCTCCTTTGTTGCGTTGCGTGTCCAAACAAACGTATTTAAAAGAAGGCAATTTTTGGTGTCAATCATCAGCTGTGATAAATCATGAGAATACGATGGATATCCTGGAAAATCAACAGTTATCCTCAATCAAGGGTAAAGATCCCGTCCAAATTCAACCTCAGAGGATACGTTTACGTCTCAGGTCAGGTGAGAGAAAGATTTTATTAAGATTTAATGTTTTAGATTTCTATTTTGAAATAATATATTTATATATAAACAAATGTTAAATAAAAAATGTACATCAATTTATAATTTGCATTATTGAGACACAAAGTTCTTTTAGGAATTACAATAAAAAGTAATTATTATTATTTAAAAAAAAAATATATAAAAATATATAAAATTTTATAAAATAATGCAGATTTTCCTAAAATTAGCGAATGTTTTTTTCATAGACAAATTTTGTAGAATTGTAGAACATTCTAAAAAAACAAAAAATTCTTATATGAAAATGTATAATAATTTTTAAATGGGAAGCGTTAAAGTTGATCAAACAATTTGCGGAAAATTGGCGTACTCAGGCATGGCAAATTATTTAATAATGGATATGTTCATTGACTTGCTCTTGTACATCGACTTGCTTTTTAAATATAATTGGAGTTGAAATTGTGGAGGTGAAACAGAAATTGGAGTTGAAGCTGAATCTAAAGTTACAGCAAAGAATTTTTAGAATTCTAGCAATAGTTTCAGTTTCATCTCCAATTCCAGTTTCAATATTACTTCCAACTTCAATTATATCAATATTTAGAAGGCGAATGCAAGGACAATAGTGATTGGTCAATACTTCCCATTTTTAAACTATTACAGCTTCAACATTTTCGAAAAAAGAATATTGCATAGAAATTGTCAGTGGAAGGATATCTGGAACATTCTGTATACTCACATAATGTATGTAATACAATAATTATAAATACTATATTTTTCAGTATAATATTGTACATTTCTGATATAATTATCTAATATTATACATAATTTAAATAACTTATAATTCAAGAACAAAGAAACTGAATAAATTATTTACAGGAGAAGAATATCGCGTAACTATGAAATATGGTCAGGCGGAAGATTATCCTGTAGATTTATATTACCTTATGGATCTATCGGCCTCTATGGAACCATATAGAAACAAATTATCAAAACTCGGTCTACAATTAGCCAAAGCCATGCAAAAGCTCACATCAAATTTCCGCATTGGCTTTGGCAGCTTTGTAGATAAGGTTGTTTTACCAATGACTAGCACGCAACCCGATAAGTAAATATTCTTAAATATATTGTTATATTGTATTATTTATTACAATAGATATATTTTAATTTAAATAAATAATCTAATTAAATAATCGTTGAAATTGTTATCATAATTGTTGAATGAAATTTTATTGATAAGAAATTTTATAATTTGAATTTTTATATCAGATTGGAATCACCCTGTATTTTGAAAACTGGAAGACCATGTGCACCACCTTATGATTATAAGAATCAAATGCCTCTTACGGAAAACGTAGC